CAAATTCACCAAAAGTGAAGGTAAGTAAAAGTTTCTATTTCCATTTATATTTAAAAAACTTTATACTGCTAAAAGTTAGCATATTTTTTTTTCTTCATGCTTACTTTTGTATATTTACGAGGTTTATATTTATAGTTCGGATAAATTTCATTATGAATGCTTTGTGCCTCCTCTATAAAATATTTTTATAATTTCGATTAAAAATAATAATAATAATAATAATAATAATAAATAAACATGTATATATACCTGCAAATTCTCTATATATAGATTTCTCCTTCTCTGGCATAGTTTGCCAAATTTCTTTAACGTACTTACATAAAGTGGGCATACTTAGTTTCTCGAAGAGTTGTGGGAATTGAAATTTAATTTCCAACATAAAACAATTTTTAAAAAGAAAAAACACATTCGGTGGACGAGGAGGTGAAGAGTTTTTTTTGATTCCATTTCGTCGTTTTGTTGACATCAACGCAAAAATATCATATTTATACTTAGGATTATATACATGAAACAAATCAAAATTAGTGGGAATTCCACAAGAACCCAAATCTAGTTGGGATTGTGCCATTTTTATTTTTGAACGTAAAGATTTTAGACTTTTCAAAAGGAATCTTTAGAAATAAAGGAATACCGATTTTTTTTTTTTTTTTTGCAAGAACAGGACTCATCTTTAATATTTAAATCATGACTCCAGATTGTAAATCTTTCATAATGAGTAATGATAAACAATTTTAAAAATAAAATTTATTAAATCATTTGTGATCATCTCAAATAAACATACAAGTTATAATAACTTTGATGTAACAAATGAAAGTTGACCATAAATTTGATTTCTTAGACAATCATTTCACATAAAACAGTTCACAGATAATTATTCAAAGACAGTTTATTTTATCGACAACTCATTTCATGGACAATTTATATTACCGACAACTCATTTTACAAAGTAATTCTAGTCATTATTAATTAAAATAAGATCTTAGGTCTAGAATTAAGGGTAAGGTTAGTGCAACTTATATGAAACCTTCTGCAAAATGGGTTGTCAATGAGAAGTAATAAACCATCTGTGAAATAAACTTGTCTGTGAATCATTTGTTTATGAAATGATACGGATCTTATAAACTAGATAACGCACCATAAAATCTCCCAAACATGGACTGTCATTATTTTCAGATGACCACAAACAAAATTTTTAAATTTAGACAATTTTGTATCATTTTGGTAACACTATTACAAATAACAGTTTATCAGATGAATTTCTGATTATTTTATCTGGTAGCTTACTATAATAGTGCTTGCCAAATAACTTTGTTAAAGATTTTTTTTGTAACATTAGAAAGTTATTGTACTTGAGTCAAGTATCACTCGAATTGACCGCAAGTAGTGCTCGGCAAAATCAAACAAAAACTGGATTTTTCAAGTTTTTGAATCTATCGATTTACAGTACTGTGCTTTATTCCAGTATTCACAAAATTTATTTTTACTTTAATCTGACTTTAAACTTCATGATAAGTTACCACGAAGCCTAAAGTAAGATCGGATGCCTATTAGATTTATATTTACTAAAAATAAAATTTGGTTTCAATGCCCAATACTGTAAATTGATAGATTTAAAAACTTGAAAAATCATGTTTTTGTTTGATTTTGCCGTGCACTAACCGCAAGTAAAATTTATAATAAAAATAATAAACCATATTAAATAGAGAAATTTTTATTTATATCTGGTAAAGTTATTTCGAATTATCCTAAAAAAAAATATAGGAATATTATATTCATAACACCGTGTTATTATAACACCCTATATAGTTTAAGTTTGAGTTAGATTAGGTTAGGGTGCAGCTTTAAGATATATAGGTATTTTTTATATAATATAATATATAATAGATATAAGGTCCCGATTTCAGTTCTTGTGAGGT